CAGAAACTCAGGAAAGTAGACCAGAAAAGGAAGGTGTAAACTCTGTTTCATTTCTTTCTAATATTCACTCCTATGAGTTATTTATCTGGCCGATTAGATTAAGTACTAGTAATGAATTAAGGTATATTACAGTAAGAATAAGTACTAAAGTACTAGTAATGAATTAAGGTATATTACAGTAAGAATAAGTACTGAAGTATTAGTAATGAATTAAGATATATTACAGTAAGAATAAGTACTAGTACTAGTAATGAATTAAGGTATATTACAGTAAGAATAAGTACTAAAGTGCTAGTAATGAATTAAGATATATTACAGTAAGAATAAGTACTAAAGTGCTAGTAATGAATAAAGGTATATTACAGTAAGAATAAGTACTAAAGTATTAGTAATGAATTAAGATATATTACAGTAAGAATAAGTACTAAAGTTCTAGTAATGAATTAAGATATATTACAGTAAGAATAAGTACTAAAGTTCTAGTAATGAATTAAGGTATATTACAGTAAGAATAAGTACTAAAGTACTAGTAATGAATAAAGGTATATTACAGTAAGAATAAGTACTAAAGTATTAGTAATGAATTAAGATATATTACAGTAAGAATAAGTACTAAAGTACTAGTAATGAATTAAGGTATATTACAGTAAGAATAAGTACTAAAGTACTAGTAATGAATTAAGATATATTACAGTAAGAATAAGTACTAAAGTACTAGTAATGAATAAAGGTATATTACAGTAAGAATAAGTACTAAAGTACTAGTAATGAATTAAGGTATATTACAGTAAGAATAAGTACTAAAGTACTAGTAATGAATTAAGGTATATTACAGTAAGAATAAGTACTAAAGTACTAGTAATAAATAAAGGTATATTACAGTAAGAATAAGTACTAAAGTACTAGTAATGAATTAAGATATATGACAGTAAGAATAAGTACTAAAGTACTAGTAATGAATTAAGATATATTACAGGAAGAATAAGTACAAATACTAGTAATGAATTAAGATATATTACAGTAAGAAGAGGTACTAAAGTACTAGTAATGAATTAAGGTATATTACAGTAAGAATAAGTACTAATACTAGTAATGAATTAAGGTATATTACAGTAAGAATAAGTACAAGTACTAGTAATGAATTAAGGTATATTACAGTAAGAATAAGTACTAAAGTATTAGTAATGAATAAAGGTATATTACAGTAAGAATAAGTACTAAACTACTAGTAATGAATAAAGGTATATTACAGTAAGAATAAGTACTAAAGTACTAGTAATGAATAAAGGTATATTACAGTAAGAATAAGTACTAAAGTACTAGTAATGAATAAAGGTATATTACAGTAAGAATAAGTACTAAAGTACTAGTAATGAATTAAGATATATTACAGTAAGAATAAGTACTAAAGTACTAGTAATGAATTAAGATATATTACAGTAAGAATAAGTACTAAAGTACTAGTAATGAATTAAGATATATTACAGTAAGAATAAGTACTAAAGTACTAGTAATGAATTAAGATATATTACAGTAAGAATAAGTACTAATACTAGTAATGAATAAAGGTATAATGAGTAGTACAAGTTGTATATATATTGTATGTATAGTATACCACTAGACTAATCTATTGTCCTGTTGTAATTATAGATTAACTCCCTTTGTTCAGGTATTTTCTCACCTATTCTTTCTCATGGTCTACCTTATTATTAGCTTCTATAGAGTATGATATAAGTATTTTGGCAATTGGACTAAACATGTAGGTAGGTTTGAAAAAAAACAAAAAATCTCTTAATGAATTAGTTATATGGACTCGCTGAATGCATAATATGATCAAGAATGGCCATGTAGTGTAGTAATAGAAAAAATCATGGAACCAAAAATGTAGATCTACAGTGCTTTCTTAGATTTATTTGACTCCTATTCACTAATTTTAATCTTTAATAAAAGACCTTCACTCTAAAGGTGTGAGCACATTTATTTGAGCGATCTTGGTCGGAGATTTTTGTTGCAGTCTAGAGTTTCGCCGACTGCCATGGGCACACGAGGAGACAAAAATCTCCAGTCGGTCGTTTTCCACCATGTCGATAATCATGTGCAATTGAAAGGAAAATGAATCTGATTGGACGATGACGGTCTGTCTGTCTTGCAGACAATAAAACTATCAGAGACAAGTATCAAACTTGCTTGATATTGTTAATCCAGTCGGTGACCCAATAAATTTCTCGTAGTAGCACTGGCACGTTACCTTACTCAAGACTCTTATCGGCAACAAAAATTTCCGACCAAGACCCTTCGTGCGTCTGCACCTTAACTCATTTTTCACTTTATATGGGAGTTGAACAAGCGTTTTCAACCCTTATCAGTGATTGTTATCTCCACCTACTCACATAATTTGTAAACACTGTACTAATGGTGATATATATACAAGATATAGATACTGATTGTTCTAGTGACAGAACTTATATATAAATTATTCACGTAGAAATATCAGGCTATAAGGGAGATTAAAGATGGGTTTCCTTATTTTATAGTGTCAAATTAAGTAAACTATTTGATTAATTGGTGTTTCTAATGAATTATCATGTATTCTTAATCATATCATTGTGTTCTTATTGCATATAATTAAAGATGGGTTTCCTTATTTTATAGTGTCAAATTAAGCCAACTATTTGATTAATTGGTGTTTCTAATGAATTATCATAATTCTTAATCATATCATTATGTTCTTATTGCATATAATTATTACTAATCATAAATGTTCATGTACGTACAGTCTGGATAAACAAAAAAAGTCTTTTTGACCTTTCTTGATCGTTCACTCAGTAATAATGTCTATTTCAGTGAGTCCACATAGCTAACAATGTATATATATTTAAAGATGGGTTTCCTTATTTTTGAATGTCAAATTAAGCAAACTATTTGATTAATTGATGTTTCTAATGAATTATCATGTATTCTTAATCATATCATTTTGTTCTTGTTGCATATAATTAAGTCTTTTAACCAATCATAAATGTCAATATATGTACAGTCTGGATAAACAAAAAAAGTCTTTTTGACCTTTCTTGATCGTTCACTCATTCAAATTCTGCTGGCAATTCTCTTCTAATTTAGCTAATTATGAATTAATTGATTAATGGACATGTGAGACAAACTGGTATTTTTTCAAGTCATTAGAACACCACTACTTTCTATTCATATAAGTATTAGCATTTTTATTTTCTTAAATAAAAATAAGGGAACCTTTTTTAAGTAATTGGGCTTTCTGTGACGATTCATTGTCGTTATTTCCTTCAAGTTTTGGGTTTATTCAAAGTTTTTCTCTGAATTTTGTTTAAACCTTTTTTGCTCCAGATTTATACCTGTTATTGTAGTTATTGTTGGGCTTTCACGATTTGACGATTTATTGTTTTTGTGATGATATTTCCCTGAAGTTTTGGGTTTATTCAAAGATATTTCTCTCAAGTTTTGTTTCATACAATTGTTTTAACTTTGTTCTAAATTTGTGAGCTGTTGTTGAAGCTTATTTCCACAGAGTTTAGTACTTTCTTGTTAATATTGCTTTTAAGATTATGTCCTTTTATTGATCGAAGGCTGCTTTCAGGTCTTACAGTTGTTGAAAGTCAATGAGTTTTTGCTATTATTGAAATGTATTTGCTCCTGAGCATTAAGTTTTGCTGTGAGTTAATTTATATTAAGGTTTTGTTGATTATTTGCCAGTAGTTTCAATTTCTGGATAGAGTTGAAACCAGCTGAATTTGTTCTATGGGTATTTTTATTTGGGTTTATTGATGAAGCTTTTGATTGTAGATTTTTCTAAGGTTTCTATGGATGTTATCAAGTTCTTTATAGTTTATTTGCTCCTGAGCGTTAAGTTTTGCTGTGAATTTATTTTTCTTGAGTTTTTGTTGATTATTTGCCAATAGTTTGAAGGCCTGGATGGAGTTGATACCTGCTGAGTTTGCTATTATGGGTATTTTTATTGGGCGCTATTGTTGATTGTGGAGTGCAACTTTATAAGGTTTTTGCTGATGTTATAAAGTTTTCTGATTTTTGTCATTATTTTAAAAAAAAAAAACCAAAAGGAAAAGAAATTGATATTTTTCTTTTAATTTCTAGATGTACTGCCTGAAAATACCATTTCTGAGGTAATACAGAACATTTATTTAACTTAAAGCTACATTATGCAAGATGGAAATAGTGAGACATTTGGGTGACAGTTTATACCTTCATATACACCTTTTAATACGACCACCAGAATCTTACCAAGATTAACAAACATATCATTTATAAAATACAATTTCATTAACATATCAACAATATTATTCAATTCTATCAGCATAATATCAAAAAACGCTTTCTTAAAGTAAAATTTACAAGCTGTTGAATAATCCAAAACTAAAGACACAAAGTTTACAATGAGTTCTTTCAATGAGCTGTAAATACAATTGAAGTGACAAAATTTACAATTTGTGTATTTATAAAGCTTTGAACTAAACTGAAAGGACAAAATTTACTATTCATGCTTTCAAAAAGCTGAAAATAGACTTAAAGAGACAAAATTTGTAATTTGTGTATAGCTGAAGCAACTCTGTGATAAACGTACTGTACTTAAAACACATTCCAACCCAGTGACAATCAAAACAAAATGTGCCGAAAACAATCAAGTGTGACGTATCGAAGATGGATTCACATCATATGAAGCTATCAACCAGACATTTTCATTCCAAACTTTGGTGTACATATCATAGCAATATTTTTATTCCAAATATGGGAAAGTTACGTTTATTTTCGTTAACTGTATATCGTCATTGTGCGGTGAGTCTCCGTCGGATTTCTGTGTTTGGATATTCCGTACAAACTATCGTGTCAAAGCTAGGCATGCTACTGGTGATTTTTGTGATAAAACTCTTCTGTTTTATGGCCGTGTTTTTATTAAAAATGTTACGATCGTTATATATGTGGTCAGTGATGAAAATAAAATTCATATTTAACAGGGCTATCAATGCTGAACAGGATAAAGGAAATTCAAATCAGGACTACACACATATAGAAGGTAAGTTACTTTACTATATTTACAGGGGAAAGGGGTGCATTGGGTTGGATGCTTGCTGCTAACCTGAAAGTCCAGGTTTATATCTTGGTATGGGTAGAGTATTATCTATGTGCTAGGTCATTGTGCTACTGGCTATGCACATTTAAATGAAATGAAATGAATGGATTTTTACGTTCTACTTTTCTGCACCATGTGGGCTAATGAAGACAGGCAACGCTAGCTATACAGGGTGCAATGAGGGAAATTTTGCCAGGACAGCGGCATTAACCTGCTCTTTTTCGATTTCAAACTGTTGAGGGATCTTTAACGTACACAGCCTGTAACACAAGTCTCGGTTTATAGATGTTTTTTCCTTGTCAGCACCTCTTTACCTGCATCACTGACGGGGAAACCGGGTTGAAAAATCCGAAGATATTACCTTGACCTATGCCGGGATTGAACCCTGGACCTTCAGGTTAGCGAGCAAGCGTTTAACACACTGAGCCACTGCGGCTCCCTATGCACATTTAAGATCCCTCGACTGTTTGAAAAATATAGGCTAATGCTGCTGGGCTGGTTAAATTTCCTTCATTGAACACTTAATGGTGTTGCCAACTTATATGATTCCAAATTGGTACAGAAAATTAGGGCTGTTTAAGAGAATCCATGTCAGCTTATCAGAAGTTAAGAGTCTGTGAGATGTTTATAGATTGAGGGAGAAAGTTGATCACAATAAACCAAGTCAACTGAAGCCAACAAGTCTAGAGATCTGTAAACAAACATTGTATAGGTTTTTTGGACAAAGTTAATTTAGTTGGACAACAGTCAATAAACTGTTAAATCAACATCAATCTGATTTGTTGACAACTTGTAGAAAAATACAAAGTTATCAACACTGTTATTTTCTAAGCACAGTAAAAAGTTTTTTTTTACCAATACATTCCAGAGAATTAGAATACCAGCCTCAAAATAGTATTGTTAGTTTAGAATGACTTTGTGTTGATAAAAATATAAACATAAGCACACATTATGTCTTCAAAATTTGTTTTTACAAAGGACATTTTTCAGCCAAAATTTGTACCTTTTTAGAGTTGAAATTTCTAGGAGAGAAATGTGTTACTTTTCAATGTAAACTTACAAAAGATATTATTTTTATCAACACAAAAACATTCTAAGACTAACAGTATTATTATGAGACTGATATTCCAATTCTCTGCAAAAATATCGAAAAAATTCAACAAACTTTTTACTTTGCTCAGACAAAAGGATTAAAAGCCTTGAACATTACAATACTTATCAGGTCTAAGCAAGGAATATATATATATACAGGCAAGAGGTGGGAACTGTTCTTAGAAAAATGCATAGTCAGCAAAACTGTTACGACTAAAACCCTCAGTTCTGAGAATTACTTAAACTGTTAAGGCTAAAACTTTTGAACATTACAAAAAATGATCTGGATATATTGCTGTAGCCCCTTTACTCTTGTGGACATCATAGAGGCTACAGATTTTATTAGATCTTAATGAAACTTGATATACACACTTTTATTACTATTAACAGAATTTCTAAAATATCCGAATGATGAATTTTTGCAATTGTTTGAGCACTAGATTAACCGAATTCAAAAATCTGAATTTTTGCAATTGTTTGAGCAACAGAACAATTTTAACAGAATTTTTTGTGTGCACTCATTGGCATTGATAAGATAAAGGTATACCCATTGCCATACGAACAATGAAGATTGAGTAAAAAAAGTGGAAAAAGTCCAAATTTCTTCACACAATCAATGTTGTTATTGGTAGCTCTCAGTGACCTTCAATCTTTTACACAAATTCTCTATTTGATGTGTAAATTTGAACAATTTAACCACAATGTTTCTAAGTTAGATTAAAACAATGACCAGGAATATAGCAACAAGGTGAACTATTATAATGTAATATCGTACTTTGTCAAATTTTTATCAGTGTTATGTATTTATCAGCAGATTTTCTTAATTTTTTGTCTTTTGACTTCTGAAAATATTTGTATATTTTTTGTGATTTTTATTATTAAGGAAACTTGGAATTGAAATCAATTATATATTGGAAATTATGCATTTTTATTACTTTTAAACATATTTTTGTAAATTTTGTCGCTCTAAGTTTGAAATGAGAAATGGATTGCTAAATATGGTGTTTTTATGTGGATATAAGGACATACTAACGTGTATTATCCTATTAGTCTATTTTTGGGATAAATTCCTACAATTTAAAAATTAGGCAAGAAAGTTTATGAACTCTGAGGCATTGGATACCAAAACAAATCAATTCACAGCTTAAGCATTTCTTGAAACTTAAGCAATTGCTTCCTCTCTTAGGACCAATGGTTCACAGTTTGAGTTACATGAAATGTTTTATTGTAGTGACATTGTATGATAAGATTTCAGTATGTGACTATGTTTTCAGGTGTATTAAATCAACTCAATGAAAGTAGAAATCAACTGGAAGATCTGTGGGCAGCCAGAAAAATGAAACTGGATCTCTGTCTTCAGCTCAGAGTTTTTGAAAGAGATGCTCTTGAGGTAAATTGTAGTATTTTTTATGAATTTTCAATGTCACACAATGTAACATTATTCTAATGCTGGACATTTTTTGTGCACTTTATCTTAATCATTTATGTTTCGTTACTTTCAAGTCTCTACAGCTAACGAGAGACTGGGCAGATTTATATTTGCTGGTACTTTGGCCGAACTATTCGTTGCTGAATTCATGGGGCCCGACGCAGTGGACAAACTGGGCAATTGCCTGCGTTGTTAACTCGTCTGCAAATCAAATTACGCATGCGCAAGGACCTCAGTCACATGATAAAAATATGGTGGTGTCCAGAAAGATGTGAAGAGCGTCAGTTGCTTATATAGTTGGGCTTTGACTCCCATAACATAATTAATTTCTTTTAGCACTCAACTTGCTTCACTGAAGGTTGCCATTTTATTTGTCATGTGACGCTTTCAGCAACCGTGATTGGTTGAGTTATAGGAAAGTGTGTCATAGACTACGCCAGAGTGAACACACTTTTAAAACGAGTGAATGTTAGGGCAAATGAAATTAAACACTTGATGATGGCGAATGGTTTCGGCCGATGCTTGGCACTGGGCACACTAAGCGAAGATCTCCTCTTATTATAAAAAAATTATTTCTTCCCAGGTTTCGTCACAACTAGAATTATGGTCGGAAGAGCTTCAACATCAAGAACTGGTGACAGATGGTTCAAAGGCCGAGCAACTTCTTCAGATGCATAATGAGAGCGTATTACACATGCAGAACTGTACTTACGAGGTTATACAACGAGGTCAAGAACTCTGTCAGGTCAGTTTTGATTCTTTATATATTGATGCTCCAATCGCTGGATGACCAAAGCTATATCAGCAGTTGTCCAGTAAATCAAGCAATTTTAGGACTCTGTTGGTTTGATCACATTGGTAAAAAAATCTAAAATTATGAATTTTCTGAAATGGGGAAAGGGAATTTGTTAGGGATTAAACGAATTATAACCTTCTCCGTTGCATGCTCTTTTGTTTAGTCAGAAACTATAAAGAAATAGTCAAATTTTGTAAGAGTTTTTTCAGAACAATAGAACCACTAGTTTTCTAACATGTAATAGTCCATAAAGAAAACGTAGATTATGAAGATATTCAGTATAACAGTAGTTAGTAGTTTTGTTTGTTTGTTGTTTTGATGTATTAGTTATTTGAGAGTTCTGGTGTTCAGTTGATGTTAGACTCCCAGTACGATGCCAGTTCCAGGATCCAGATATTACTCGAGTACCTCCAGGAACGAGAAGTGGATCTAGAGACGTTCTCAGAACAGAAGAGACTCCGACTAGAGCAGTGTGTACAATTGAGAAACTTCGAGATTGAAGCCAGACAGGTATGGTTCTATTTTTGTTTCTTTTTATCTTCCTTAGTTAGTTATTTTGTTATTGGGTAATAAATAATTGGACACAATTTTATGGATATCAATTACTTTTATAAATAACTTGCGAAGTTTCGACAAAGGTAATTTCGTCTTTATCAGACAATGATGGTGTCCAGTAGTGATATGATTTTTTAGACAATTCAGTAGGATACCTGATTTTCGTATTTCTTCATCATTCTTGTGATTTTTTAATTTTAATGGCTTAAATTTACTGTATTACATGAAAACAGTTTTATTATTGATCCTTGGAGTCATTTTGGATTGACAACTCCACCTTCATTTCTGAATTGAATAATAAAGATTAAGAAGTAAACAATTTTCAAAAAAAATTTTTCTATTTGTTTTCTCTAATGTTATTCATGATGAGATAATAAGATTTGTTATCATATTGTAGGTAATATGTTGGGTCAGAAATGGAGAATCCATGTTAACAGCCAGTTTTATCTGTCCTAACACACTCATAGAAGCTGAAACTCTGAAAAAAGAACATGAACATTTCATGATTGCCATAGAGGTAGGTTGGTCTTCGGTACTACATTGATGAATTATGATTTAAGAAATGTTTTAAACTAAGTCTTAAACTAGAACAAAGCTGGGCGGGCTGTAGATACCAGATCAAGGGTGTTCAAAGAAAAGATTTTCTTGTTATGTCTTCAAATCTTACTTTGCAACCTACCATCTATAAGATATTGCTGGTTAAATAGAACTCAATGTACCATGATGTTTTGAAATGCGCAGAGGACACAGACAATGTTGAAATGTAATCCAATGTGAGCATGGAATTTTGAATGAAAATAAGTATCTCTATCATAACAATGTTTTGAAATCTTGTGTGAAATTTTGATTGTTTTCATAACAATTTAAAAATGTAGAAACAACCATCCAGTATTTATAGATATCCTATGTAGAGCTAATAATTTGAGATCTTGTCTTTGATTTGAAATGTACTATTTAAGGTATAAATTTGATTGTTTTGAAATTTATTTCCAGAAAACTCATATTAGTGTAGTACAGGTGACTCAGAAAGCTGAAGCGATGATACAAGGTCAGCATTATAACTCAGACCTAGTTCGTGCCATCGCAGAGAATGTGACGTTAGCTTGGCAACAGTTGATGTATCATGCAGAAGAAAGACACAAACTGGTCATGGCTTCTATGAACTGGTACAAAACAGCAGAACAGGTAAAAAAATTCATTTTATGTTTAAAACAGGATGATAAACTTAACTTAATGTGTCTATAGTACATCCCTACTCGTGTGATTCATCGTCAGACATATAATGTGCTCTCCCGAACAACAGCCATTACCTAACAAAGGATTATATTCCTTAAAGGTAGATAGTTAAGACTGCTTATCTTGTAAATCTCTCCAGAAGTAGGTAATTTCCTATCAAATTGATGTATTCCAATGCTGAAATTCACAGTCCTTACTTGTGACCTAGGCCAGTGCTTCTATAGGAGAGTTTCTCTTATGAAGAAACCTTATACTAGGGAAAAATGTCAAAACTGACCTGAAACCTTCCAGAGTCTTGACATGTAATAAAACACATTTGAAAAATTTGATATTGAATTAAATAAAAAAACATTTCATAAGGAATTCTATTGAATGATACATATATAAGACATATATGATAGAAACTATGAAAGCGGGATACCTTTTAGAATTGTTGAGGTTTGGAAAAAAAGTAAGTGGCATACCTCTCTATAAAATGCATGGTTTGATAACATTTATAACTATTCTATTAAAGGTATGGTCAGTGCTAGAATCATTAGATAGAGATTATAAACGAGATGAAGATTGGTGTAACTCAGATAAAACTAATACTACAGATAAATCATCATTCTTAATACAACTAATTAATAAACATAACGAACAGAAGGAGGCTTTTCTTAAGGTATGTACCAAGATCTGTTTGTATTTGCCTTGTGGATCAACCATCTGAACGTACCAAGAACTTATTGTATTTGCCTTGTGGATCAACCATCTGAACGTACCAAGAAATTATACTTTTTGCTTTGTGGGTGCTCAACATTAGGCTTTCGAGACAATTGCTGGCACTAAAAATTTCCTTCAAGGAATTTAATGGTTTCATCTAGTATGTACCAACAAATTATATTCTTTGCCTGGTGGGGGTCGATGTCTTGATGGTATCTACTAATATTCAACAACATTTTTCTAAGTGGATGCTCAGAAATATTTCTGGTCTGAAAGATAATTGGAAGGATTGGATTGTACTGCACTGATCTTGCAGGCAATCTTGTGCTTATTAATGACTTGCTGCTAGCTGCCGGCTGAGCTTTGCAGCTTCTGTAGAATTCGAACCCTGCCTTTTTGTGTGCTGAATCATGTCATAAACTATATTAACTTTAGCTTTTGCATCAATAGATTACATTTTGTTTATATTTTTTAGGCCTGTACCCTAGCCAGAAGAACAGCTGAAACATTTTTAAAATATGTCAATCGTAATCTCCATTTCCTGGGCATGCAGATGAAATTTAGAAGTCCTGAGGGTCATGTCAAGGGTAAATATATTTTAGAACTGTGATTGTAAATGAAAAATATCAAAAAATATACATTATTAGCTATACGAACTCTCTGAAAGCTTTATAGAGTTGACAAAGGATATCGACCTGGCCACGTATTCTCGAAACGATCTTAGCGCTAGGTTGTCCTAGATTCAATGTCAGAAGATAATAATCTAGGACATCCTAGCGCTAAGATCGTTTCGATTTTGAAAATGTCGTACAAACCGAGATTCAGAGTGTGCAAGTTGTTGTTATATTTATTCCTAGATTTTATAGAATATTGATATTTTATTCTTGTTTATTTGAAAAATTTAATCAAAACGATTTTGATTTTATGTCAAAATTCTTCACGTCATGAAGCAAGGTATATATAGGCCATTTTGAAATTGTGTTAACAGATTTAATATCACTTTTTCAGCAACCCTGGATCAGCTGTTACACCAAGAAAATATTGTTATTGAATGTTGGACGATGAAAAAACGTAAACTTGATCAATGTCACCAATTTTTATTATTTGAACAAAGTGCTAAACAGGTATGGATTTGTTTTACGTACCATGTTACATGCTTACCATTTCACCAAAGCAATCTTCCATTTTTGAACCATTTTATTTTTTCATAAATCATTAATTGATTAAGTAATTGTCCTTTGGAATACAGAAGGCTAGACAAGATGATGACAATAACTAATGATAAAGAAGAGTTATGTTGATGACGTGTTTCAGAGATAGAATCCATCAAGAAAACTTAGCCATGGTGGTTAGATTTTTGATATTTTTTGGGACTTTTATCCAAATTTACAGGAGTGAAATGGTTTTGAGGTAAAATTTATGATTTTTATTTTTCAGGCTCTAGAATGGATCCATGATCATGGAGAGGCATACCTGGAATCTCACACTGCAGTTGGTAGCAGTCCACAAGAAACAGAATCACTGTTGAAAGAACATTATGATTTTAGAAATAGAGCCAAGGTAAGTTGCTGTCTGCTTCGGTTTAAAATATGGTTCAGCAGAGTGCTTTTAGTTTAAATCTGACTTCTTCTATGTTTCAACTGATTAATGGCAGTGGATAAACTTATTGACATTATTAGGCAGACCCGAAGCTACAGGGGAGGCAAGAATTTGATTGTCCCCCTCCCCCCCCCCTGAAAAAATTCTGACAACTGATCAATTCCATTACTACAACTAAACACCATACACCATTGCCCCTCCAGATATATTACTCACCCCTCCAAACAAACAAGTTTGGCAACTTGCATGTTATTGGGTTATCTTCCCTGATGATCAAATCAGAATTGGAGCTACTGATAATGGAGTAGGACTGATTTGCTGATAGAACGCTGACAATTTTCACAGCTCTCTAACTTAGCTTCTCATCCACATTATCAAGAAGCTTGCCGCCAATTTTTGTTAAGGTTTATGAAGTCTCGCTCTCCTCAAGAGGTGAAAAACTTAGGCCTAAAGAAAACTTTCTAAAGGTACTCACTCTTATCTCCTTTTTGGAATATTTCAGGAAACCAAAGAAAATGTGAAATTATTGCTTCAACTTGCCGATGGTTTTGTTGCTAAGGGTAACATCCACGCTAAGAATATCATGTCATGGTGTGCCGCTGTTGACAAACGCCATAAAGATTTCCTGTCTAGAATGGAGAAATATCGAACCATGTTAGAAACTAAACTCGGTGTTCAGAAGAAAGAGGTATGGATAAATAAACCAAGTACTAACAATCTGAACCGTCAAACGAAACTTGATATCCAAAACAACATTTTGGTAAAAAGAGTTATTAATTCTTTTAAGACATGTTAATTCTAGACTTTAGCTGTAACGAAGATATCTATACACATTCACAGATCTTTTAAAACTTTCTTTGATAAATATAGTGTTACAGACAGTCACCTGAATGGAATTAAAACCTACATATAAAGAAATGTTGGAGGAATAGCTCACTGAACATCTTTTCCAAATATTTTCTCTGAAAAAGTGACAAAATAATAATGAAATTGACAAGCAACTATCATAATACTAATAATCTATTTCAGCCTGACCCCCAAGAAAAAGAAGAAACCCCCACTCCTCAGAGAAGATCTGATTCTTCTATAGAAGAAAAACTACAACATCGACCTAAAGAATTAACAGAGGAAAAGCGTAAATCAGCCAGACGCCGAGAGTAAGTGATATATCTTCTTCTGAATCAAATCAGGCAAATAGATTAGAAAATACTGTGCAGTGTGCAATTAGCCGATTTCTCCTAGGGCTAGGACCTTTATTATTTCTATAAAACTCCTTCGGAATTTGTCAAGCTATGTGCCAGCTCTCTATCTCTAATAGCTTGTTCGTTGATTTGCAAAGACTCAACTAGATGAGTGACGGCTCCTTGACTAAAGTACTTTGGGTGACTTCGATTGAAACTCTGTGGTTGATGGAGAAATGAGGTAATTATCTTCAGCGAGCAAGCCGAGTGAGGGTCGCAATCTCATTTGATCGAGTTAAGGCAATATGGCGGGACTTTTGACCATATATAGACATTCCATGCTACCATGTTAACTCGTGTTTGAAGTCGAAGTCACCCTTTGATGCCACTCCCATGGGAATTTTAGTTTTTAACTTACACTCTCCTGCATTGTTTTTGGGCTCCTTAAGAAGTGGGGGCCACTGGACTTGGTTCAACCAGTGCCTATGGTAGTTGAGCCTCTGTTCATTTGATGAAATGTGATCATATAAACGCAATTGGAAACAAATATTTTTGATTATATATATTTAACTATTATTGCAGGTTTATAATGGCTGAACTATTACAGACTGAAAGAACCTATGTTAAAGATGTTGAAACTTGTTTAAAGGTAAGACTAGTCAATTAGATTCACTGCTGCTCAAGATATTATTATTTGATATGTATATAACAAATTGTTCACCATATGTTACATGTTCACAAACAAATTAGACAAAATGTTTTGGGCCTCTCGTTAGACAACAAATGAGTTCTTATTGGTTAAAATGACCAATTTTAATGGCTAACCAATCAGTTGAATAGATTGTTTAATGATTTTAAAAGAGGAGGAGCCAGGTTTCGTCCGAGAGAGGGCGAGATATCTGAGATTGCCAGAAACTTTAACCTAGTTATGACATTTTTGCCCGAAAAATTTGCTGCCCCCCCTTTGGCTCTGCCACTGGATTTTAAGTTAAGTTTTTGTGCCTCTGGTTGGTAGTCAAACTGTGTTGTTTTCCCTTTCATGTAAAACGTAGATTTTAGGGAATACAGTACTGTCATCTCATTGGTTAAAATGATCAATTTTAATGGCTAACCAATAAGTTAAATAAATTGGTTAATGATTTTAAGTTAAGTTTTTGTGCCTCTGGTGGTATTCGAAGTGAATGTGTTGTTTTATTATCGTGTAAAACCTGTATTCTTTGATATTTTCAGTGCTATTTAAATGAAATGTGTGATACCAGTAACAATGTACCACCTGGTATTAAGGGCAAACAGAAAGTTATTTTCGGTAACATGGAAGAAATTTATCATTTCCACAACAAGTAAGTTACTGTGATACTGAAAAAATGATGTGATTGTACTAGATCTGCAACCTTTCACAGATGAAACATGATTCCTTCCTTTATATTGATGCATTGAGTTGAATAAAAAAAATTGCATCAATACTAAAAGTTTCATTATTTATCCCCAAATAACAAATGACAGAATTTTTGCGTATATTAGAAATTGGTATAAGTGTTTTTGAAATATAGATTTCACGTCATCATTTAAAGATGGGTTTCCTTATTTTTTGATTATCCAGTACATATATGTACATTTATGATTGGTTAAACCTCTTCATTATATGCAATAAGCACATTATGATATGATTAAGAATACATGATAATTCATTACAAACACTAATTATTCAAAGAGTTTGCTTAATTTGACACTAAAAAACCTGGAAAATGATTAAATAAATCTTTGTAAATATTCTTTTCTGAAGTCAAAGATCTTTGATCTAATAATTTGATTTTTTTTTTATTCAGAGTATTTTTAAAAGAATTAGAGAAATATGAAACAATACCAGAAGATGTTGGCCATTGTTTTGTTACCTGGGTAAGATTAAATTATTTTTTTTCACAATTAATGAATTGCCTCATGTTACAATTTGTTCAGATTCTTTGGTGAAAAAGATGGCCCCAGGACACCGTAGGAAGATGAACAAGTTTGTTTATATTACAATCTGTGAATTATTTTGTCTTTTAGGCCGAGAAGTTCTCTATTTATGTAACTTATTGTAAAAACAAACCAGAATCAAACTCACTACTTGTCGAATCAGCTGGCAATTTCTTCGAGGTAAGATCAGTTTTTATTTTTTTATTTTTCTTATTTTTTCAATTTGATCTTGAAGATTGGCAGCCTGTTAACATTAATAAAAACAATGTTTAGGGGTAGATCTCATTTTTAAGGAAACACAATGTTGCGGTACAATATTCCTGGTTTGAATTGTACACAATGTTTCTGCAATTTACATCTTCAGGAAAATATGTCTTAGATTTTATCAATCAGTGTTGATTAAAAAACCTTTTCTGAGAATTAGAAACATAACTTGTATTTAATATTTGAATGATTTTATTTCAGGAAATGCAAGCTAAACACAAATTGAACGACCCCCTAGCATCGTTTCTGATTAAACCAGTTCAACGTATCACCAAATATCAACTCTTATTAAAAGATTTATTGACATGTTGTGAGGCTCATACTGGAGAAATTAAGGTAAATTCTAATTCTTACTAAAATACCTCTTCTTATCACATGACCATAGAGATGGAAATTTGTACAAGCAAAACAATTCTGGTAACCAAAAAATCTCATGGCAATGACCTAGGTTGACCTATCTTGGAATGCGGTGTATGAATACACAATAACATTCAGATAAAAATAAACAAGCCCCTGCCCCTGGTACGGACCAAATACATCTTGACAAATTAAACCAGAAAAAAAAGTTTTATTAATATATATATATATAAATTTTAATAAATGAATGAATAATTATGATAAAATACACAAAAAAAAAAACAAATATGAAAATATTTATTCATTCTCAAATCCTGTGTTCATCAACCAATGAACTTAATAAATGAAGAATATTGTCAGATCATATATGGCAAACCTAACCTAGATCTGGAATTGGAATTGGAAATTTATCTTTCTTAATTAAAACCACCTTTGCTTGGAATAAAATCCATCCTCGGACGATATTAACCTTTATTGTAAATGTGCAGGATGGTCTGGAAGTGATGTTAAATGTGCCAAAGAAAGCGAACGACGCCATGCATCTAAGTATGTTGGTAGGAATGGAGGACCATATAGAAGCTCTAGGAGAAGTCATCCTTCAAGATAATTTTACAGTCTGGGATCCAAAACAACTGATCAAGAAGGGACGAGATCGTCATATCTTCCTGTTTGACGTCTGTCTGGTGTTTGGCAAGGAAGTCAAGGACAGTACTGGAAAATCAAAATATGTTTTTAAATTTAAATTAATGGTAAGTGGCAACTAAGTATTAAAGAAAATGATGAAATAAAGAAAAACTGCAAATATGAGAGTAGGAATGCCACCATCGATATTGGTATTTGTATCATGTGATTCACAAATTCTTACCATTATAAGAGCAGTTTGTCTTACCATTATAAGAGCAGTTTGTCTTACCATTTGTAGGTCAAGTCATACAATCATAGTATTTCTGGCATATTTTGATTGAGGTGATATTTTATTTGCATCTCTCTATGTGGACGTATATTGTCGGCAACCCTGTCCGTCCGTCAACATTTGCTTGTAAACGCTATAAAAACTAGAGTTTTTGATGAAATAAAACGAAGATCAAGTTTGAATTTGAGCTATTTTCGACCATTAGAAGCAGAGTTATTGCCCTTGCCGCAAAATCTTGAATATGCTATTACTCTCTTAGTTTTCAACCGATTTTGATGAAACTTAAAATTTTGCCCCAAAATCTTTAATATTTACCATCTGCATGCCGCGGTGGGCGTATATGGCTGTGGTCCACTATCTTTTAAAGCTGATGGAAATTATTGAGGTAAAAATTATTCGTCAGCTAGTTATTTTAAAATGTTTCATTTGTTTTTAAACTATATTTCTATATATCTATTTGGATCCAGGCTTTAATCATATTTTATCTGTTATAGATATCAGAAATCAATGTAACAGAACATATAGAAGGTGATGAGACGAAGTTTGCTCTGTGGACTGGTCGTGCTCCGATATCTGATTATAGAATTATACTCAAGGTAGGTAGACACGTGATATGTGGAAATTGGAGAGTGAATAGCTTAAAGTTTATTGCCTTCTTTATTCAACTTATCTGCTTAAAGATCATGGACTCAAAGTTTATTGACTTTGTTGAATTTTAATGATCACAAGTTCCTCCATTTGGTAGCTTCCTAATTTTAAGTTCATCGAGATTTCCCATATTTCAAAGTTGCCAGATTTAAAATAAAACTAATTTTCTTCATAGACTCTCTAAAAACTGGATACCAAGTTGACATCAACAGTTCCGTAAAAATGAGCATGCGCTCTGTCTCACTAGCGAGGCTCTTTACAGTTCTTATTTTAGTGGAGCTATAAGGCTTAAACCAAATGTTTTATCTTTTGCCATGTTTTGAAAAGATCAAAAAAAAGGAAGACAAGAAAATTAAATTTCAATATGCATCCATTTTTAGGCGTCATCATTAGAAACGAAACAACAATGGGTGAAGAAGATGAGAGAATTAATACAAGAGAGAATGATGTACATGCATGAAGCTTTGAAAAACAAACAAACAACCATGTTTAAACCACCACCTAAAATGTTCAACCCAAGTCGTGTTAGCAGGTATGTTCTGTTTACAACTTTCTCTTTATAATCCAAGCCTTTTGAGTGATAAAGATGAAATGTTTTTGTCAGTTCTGATAGTGAATACAGGCAATCACACGTGTTTAGCTTTTGGAGAAATTTTGCCAGGAAAACAGATCTAGTCGACATTAAACCAAACATAGAAATTATCATATATTGTAAGAATAGGGGTAACTGGGAAGGTCTTGTCTATCAGTTTCTGCTGTACCCTTTTTCCCAAAAATACACAAATTAAAAATCTGTCAAACATTGGAATTTTCTTTGAAATAAAACTTGTATTTTTTCTGGAATTGTAGTATCTTTTAACAGGATTGTCATTCCCATCTGATTCTAAGAGATTTGGTATGAGTCAGTTGGTTGACAGGATCCTCAAAACCAAAGATTTTCTTCTTGTATTATTGTTTTGTATTTATTTAATGATTTTATTTGTAGAGAGTTGGAGAGTGATACGAACTCTCTAGAAGAATTGAGTATAGAAAGACGAGGTTCTCTAACCTCCATGAATTCCACAGCAACCACTGGTACAACAGATAGTAGTAGCAGTGGCGGGCAGAAGGTAGGTAACTCATGTCTCTCACACATACACAGACTACAGTTAAATAATGTAACCTGGTATCCTGAGGGGTTTTTTGTACACAACATTTCCACAATTTATGTGTTAACAATTTATATGGTTTACTACTCCTGGGTTTTATTATACAACATGACAATATAAAAGAAAACAGAAGAATTTATTATGGAATTTACACTATTATTTCATTATCGAATTCCTGAACTTACACTCAATGAAAAACCTGAGTTTATTATTGAAATTACACACAGTAAAAACCCTGAATTTATCATCGAACTTACACACAGTTAAAAACCTGAATTTATTATTGAACTTACACAATGAAAAACCTGAATTTATTATTGAACTTACACAATGAAAAACCCTGAATTTATCATTGAACTTACACAATGAAAAACCTGAATTTATTATTGAACTTACACAATGAAAAACCTGAATTTATCATTGAACTTACACAATGAAAAACCTGAATTTATCATTGAACTTACACAATGAAAAACCTGAATTTATCATCGAACTTACACACAGTTAAAAACCTGAATTTATTATTGAACTTACACAGTGAATAAACCTGAATTTATTATTGAACTTACACACAGTGAAAAACCTGAATTTATTATTGAACTTACACACAATGAAAAACCCTGAATTTATTATTGAACTTACACACAATGAAAAACCTGTATTTATCATTGAACTTACACAATGAAAACCTGAATTTATCATTGAACTTACACAGTGAAAAACCTGAATTTATCATTGAACTTACACACAGTAAAAACCCTGAATTTATTATTAAACTTACACAATGAAAAACCTGAATTCATGATTGAACTTAAACACAATGAAAAACTGTATTTATTATTAAACTTACACATAATGGAAAACTGGTATTTATCATTAAACTTACACATAATGGAAAACTGGTATTTATCATTAAACTTACACATAATGGAAAACTGGTATTTATCATTAAACTTACACATAATGGAAAACTGGTATTTATGATTGACCTGGAAGAAAGCTTCATGGTTAATTGCCTAGAATACGAGGTTATACTGGATGATCTGTATGGGGTTTAAGAATATTAAATGTTTGTCTGATGGTAGATGTAAATATGTTTGTACAAACACCTGTTTCTATCATTCACCTGTCTCATAAGAAATAGATTCTTATTCTCACCACTTGTTTTCATGTTTATAATGACTTCTTAGGATTTAAGAAACATGAGCTGATAACTTCAGATACAATATGTATTGAACTCTGATAATTCATGGAATATAAAAGAAAAACATTAATTTCTGTTTCTGTGTCTATAATAATAATGGTACTAGATATGTATAAGATTGACTCTTAAAGACTCTACAAATATGTCTGTCAACGAGAAGGATTCGAACCCACTGCACCCAAGCAGATGATTACCCAACTTACTGCCAACTGAGTTATATAATGGTGTTGCATACTTTGGTAGTGCAAGCTATTAACTTAGGAAAAAGAATGACTGGCAATAAATCCCACATAATGAGTTGAATATTATTCACAGCATGTAAATAAAATGAGAAGTGTATGTTTTAAACTGTTTCAATGTTGATAATTAACCATCAGAATGAGATATTGGTTGGTGCAACTGTTGGCATATTTTACAAGAAAACGCTATTAACTTCACAAAAAGATTGACCATACCAGTACATCAAGAATAAAGGGGAATTGAAATATACGCCAAACCCAAGGAACTAGATGGTGGTTCATCTCAGCTGTGGGCATATTTTAAGAGCACCCTGCTGTTATATGTATATAGATGTCAAGTATTAGCTCTACCAGCTGCTGGAGATCATTTTCAGCCATCCATGATACTTTCCATAATAAAACTGTTTCTCTTGAAGTTTAGCAAAACATTACTTGTTGTTTTAAAGACTGAAAACAGGATTATTTATGTGCATTGTGGACAGCGTCTATTGGTATTATTCCAGTTTCCCATCAGTCGGGTGTTTCTTGTGATATGATTGCATAACTAAACTCAAATGATATTTTATACACAGATTGCATAATTTGGTCAAATTTCCAGATATACAGATCATAACCAAACAAGTTTATAAAAAAGCAAGAGAAGATGGAAGGCGTATTATGAATTGTTGACTGAAAAAAATGCAATGGAAATAAATCATTTGAGATTTGAGATTTGAGATTTTTTTTTTTTAGATAAACATACTTTAAAAAAAGGTTCAATGAATAACATTTCAAACCTCGATGAAATTCAACAGTTCAACAGAAGAATAAGAGATATTTTGCTCTGGATGTTTTCTGGTTTCTGTATATTTGAATAGGCTCGTATTTAAGTTTTATTAGGCAGATAAAGCTAATATTGACTTGTTGTTTTTTGGAAGATGATATAAACACCATCTGTTGAAATACATCAGAGAGTTGAAAGATTGGTCGAGGTGGATTAAGGTTATATTATCAAGGCTGAACTTTCATTTAGGTCATATGGGTTACCTTGAGACGGATTTAAACTCATAGAAACTAATTGCTTAGCAGACTATAACCCAACTCGCCGCAGACTGAGCTATTCCATTGTCAACGCAGATGATAATCCAACTCACTACTGCAGAGCTATTTCACAGTCCTAGCAGACAACAACCCAACTCGCCGCAGACTGAGCTATTCCATTGTCAAAGCAGACGATAATCCAACTCACTACTGCAGAGCTATTTCACAGCCCTAGCAGACGACAATCCAACTTGCTACCTAATGGATTATCCCTCTGTCCTGGCAGACAACAATCCAACTCGCTACTGCAGAGATATTCCACAGTCCTAGCATACCATAATCCAACTCACTACCTACTGACCTATTCCACAATCCTGGCAGACAACAATGCAACTCACTGTAGAGTGAGCTATTCCACAGCCCTAGCCCAACTCAGTACCTACTAAGCTTTCCACAGTCCTAGCAGACAACATCCCAACTCACTGCAAACTTAACTATCCTTCTGTCCTGGCAGACAGCAATCCAACTCACTACTGCAGAGCTATTCCATTGTCCTAGCAGACGACAATCCTACTCACTGCAAACTTAACTATCCTTCTGTCCTGGCAGACAGCAATCCAACTCACTACTGTAGAGCTATTCCATTGTCCTAGCAGACGACAATCCAACTCACTGTAGAGTGAGCTATTCCACAGCCCTAGCCCCACTCGCTACTAAGCTTTCCACAGTCCATCTTGCTACCTACTGAGCTATTCCATTGTCCTAGCAGACGACAATCCAACTCGCTACCGACTGAGCTATTCCGTTGTCCTAGAAGACAATCCAACTCGTTACCAACTGAGCTATTCCATTGTCCTAGCAGACGACAATCCAACTCACTACCAACTGAGCTATTCCATTGTCCTAGCAGACAACAGTCCAACTCACTACCTACTGAGCTATTCCATTGTCCAAGCAGACGGCAATCCAACTAGCTACTGACTGAGCTATTCCGTTATCCTAGACAATCCAACTCGCTACCAACTGAGCTATTCCATTGTCCTAGCAGACGACAATCCAACTCACTACCAACTGAGCTATTCCATTGTCCTAGCAGACAACAGTCCAACTCACTACCTACTGAGCTATTCCATTGTCCAAGCAGACGGCAATCCAACTAGCTACTGACTGAGCTATTCCGTTGTCCTAGACAATCCAACTCTCTACCAACTGAGCTATTCCATTGCCCTAGCAGACAACAATGCAACTAGCTTATAACTGAGCTTTCACCTTCAGCATATAAGAAATGGTCTAGCTCATCGTTAGAGGTAAATATCAAGGTTTCCACTGTTTAAAATTTGTTAACCACCTCAAGGCAATTTAATGCCAGACACTGGTAAGGTTAAAGCACCACCACCATTGGTGCATAAAGGGGAATTACCTTAGTGGATTATTTAAAGATCAGAGATTTACTGAATAAGCGAATAAAATTAAATTTCCTTTAGTGAAAGGTTACATTATTGTAGCCAAAATTGTACCCATGTGTGAAATATCATCAAAAACCGTTAAACAGTACAGTTATTTACATTATCATGGCATTGAATGAGTATTCTTTGAAGATGGGTTCCCTTATTTTCATTTATGAAAATGAAAATGCTATACTTATATGAACAGAATGTAAAGGGTTCTAATGATTGGGAAAAATACCAGTCCATAATTGATTTATAATTAGCTAAATTAGAAGAGAATTACCAGCAGAATTCTAATGAGTGACCGATGAAGAAAGGTCAAAAAGTCTTTTTTTTTTTATCCAGACTGTACATACATGAACATTTATGATTGGTTAAAAGTCTTAATTATACGCAATAATGATATGGTTAAAATTACATGATAATTCATTACTAACACCAATTAATCAAATAGTTTGCTTAATTTGACACTAAAAAATAAGGAAACCCATCTTTAAGTTCAATCCGTGTTTATTGGGTGATATCTTGGGTGATATCGTTGGTAGTTGAATATATATTGAATAAAAATTTTAATGATAATAGTTGCTGTAAATATAGCAACTGTTGTAAATCCAGTAGGCTAATGCCATTGTTCAGGTTAAATGATCTTATTGCACACTGCATGGCATTGCTTGTCTTCATCAGTGCATTCAGAAGCAGTAGGATAAACAACTCCATGCTATTTGGTTTGTAAATATTAATTTTAATATGTAAAAAAACTATAAATCTATAAGTATAATATAAGTAGAACAGTTACTATGGTTTTAAAGAAAAAAGATGTAAAATATCAAAGTTTAATATCAGTTGGTATCTATGATGTAAAACATATTTCTAATAAATAATTTCTTTTTATAAAAAAAACTTCTCAAATTTCAAATAAAACGGTGAGAAGATATGAGTCTAGGGTGGAACCTTTACCTTTTTATCTTCAAACAAACTTCTAGTCTTTCTTCCTTTTCTCTTAAAATACCACTTCAAGGTGTTAAACCTTCTATTTTACACAGCTTGCAGCATTTATTTCAGATCTAAAGGTTGTATTTTAATCTGAATTGAAAAAAAATGTAGTAAAGACATTTTTGAAAAATTTTATAAACTTTTCTACAGCACTGCTTTTAGAACTTAAACGTTTACCTTTTTAGTTTTAAAGATGTTTACAATTGTAGAACTTTTGATGGATTCCTGAGTCTTATTTTGGCATATCTTAAATAGATAGATACTTGCTAATATATTTAGAGATTTCATAGAGGTCTATCATCTTCATCAGGAACTTTTCAGAATAGCTTTCATTTGCTCTGGTTACCAGCTCAGTGAGATAGAAGCTTGCTCGCTAACCCGAAGGTTCAGGGTTCAATCCTGGCATAGGTCAAGGTAATATCTTCGGATTTTTCAACCCGGTTTCCCTGTCAGTGATGCAGGTACGAGGGGCTGACATGGAAAAAGCGTTTAGTTGTTTGGATGGGACAATAAACCGAGAACTCAGATGTTACAGGCCGTGCACGTTAAAGATCCCTTGACAGTTGAAAATCGAAAAAGAGCAGGCTAATGCCGCTGTGCTGGCAAAATTTCCCTCATTAGCCCACATGGTGCTGAAAAGTAGGATGTATAACTCCATTTATTTCATTTCATCTGCTTTAGTTTTCTGGTGGAGATATGTGTATTTTCAGGGTGATTATAAATAGGAATCAGACAATGTTGCCAAACACTGGTCCAATAAAAATTCCTACCTGCCTTCCCACCCATAAACAAACAGTCATGAGCAAAATTACCAAGAAATAAGTCAATAAGCTCTTGCATGTAAAACCCATAATACTGCCAGAGTCCATCAGATGTTATGACATTCCGAGAGTTTTATACACATCACAATAATTGCTTTCAACTTAGTTAATGTTATTGGGGTTTATGGTACCTATAAATATCATGGAATTAAGACATTTACCTGTGTATATTCTTGTTTCTTGTTGTTAGTATGGTTTTCTGATTTATGGATTATTCAGATATTTTATTTAGAATCATTGGATATTGATGGTAGGGTGGTAATCCTGTAATGTTATCCTCAAAGCTGGTTAAACTTTTGAAATGCTCTTTCTTCTGCAAGGTGCCCCTGTTCTGGCAAAATTATCCTCATTACACACTGCATGGCATTGCCTGTCTTCATTAGACCATAAAAAGTGTAGAAGAGTAGGATGTAAAACTCATTTCATTTCTTCTGCATGGTATTTTCTTCAAAACTAGAAATCACTAGAATTGCAAACAGAAAATCACCCAAAATATGATGTTTTTTTTTTTAAAAATATTTTATTTACAATTATATGAAAAAGATTTGGGAACAGTCTTTCGTCTATATAACCCCATAACATAAAATTGTGCAGTACATAATGTACACCTGAGGTTGTTGATAATGATAGTACCATAAAGCTGAGTTCAGATTGATCTATTCTGATCTTTGAGAAAAGAGATAATTGCTATTGGAAACCACAAATAGCTGAAAGACTTCCTCAAAGGACCAGGTGAACCATGTAAGTTATTTTAATGGCTGAAAACGTTTTGGGAAAAATTTAAATTTTACAATTTCAGTTTGTTGCAGTAACGCCATGGGTTATCATAGAACCTGGCTTGTCTTAGATGTTAGTCATTCTATCAGTATTCTGAAAAAATCTTAAATTCCCAAAGTCCAGTATGGTGTGAAAAACCATGGGTTATCATAGCACCTGGCTTGTCTTAGATGTTAGTCATTCTATCAATGTTCTAAGAAAATCTCAAATTCCCCAGTCCAGTATGGTGCTGTTCATCTTTGAAAACCTGTTGAACAGTTTCTTCATCCTACAGTGTAGATATTTCATCAATACAGATCTATGTGGTTTTAATTAGTATTCAAAATTGTAAGCTAATTATGTTGTTGTTGGTAAATGTTTAAAAATAGAAGAGAGGAGTAATTAAAACATCATTTCATTATGGATTCCAGCTCAGTATTACCACAGGTTTCTAATAGTTGTTCTATTCAGTGCTTTTTTTACTGAGAGGAGAACTGTTTGATGCCTTTTGATTTTCTTTCAGATTTCTCAAGCCTCTTGTACCTCATGTCTTGGTCTTTTTTGCCATCTTGACAAGCCATTTTTTACTTATAGCTCTCAGACCTTCACAGATTGAAACTGTGGCTTGGTGTCAGAAATATCTCAATCTTAAAACGTGCACAGTATTAAGATCACTGATGGTACTTCTCTTTGGAGGAGTCCACTACTATATTAATTTTTCTCTCAATTTTGCCATACTTTGGACAAGATTTTGATTTGTCTTGCTTAAACAGTTTTTTATTGAAATGCAGTCACTGACCAATAAGAAATTACTAAAGATCTGAACCATAAGACATCTAAAATAACAGTTTGACAAAACATTGGCAGCAGCTAATGAACCATTATGATTTTTAGTGGTTAACTAGATGGTCATTCTGAAGGAATCAAAAGTCAAGAGAGAAATGGTGTCAATGTTTGACAAGAAATCAGTAGTACTAGTAATAAACTGTTGTGTTTAATGAATGTAGCAAAAATGGTTTTGAAATTTAGTTGCAAAAGGGACAGCTTTGTAATTTTCAGGGGTTGATTTGGGTCTTGAATATATGTAAATAGTTTTCAAATGTACTAGAAATGCTTAAAACTATGAATCTTTTCACTATTTCTATATATGTCAGAGATAGACGAGTCTTTTTAACCTTTAAACACAGATAATTCAAGACACACATAGGTTTGAAGGCTCAAATTTTGATGGTGAGCTGTGAATACTTCTACTGACTAGCTTAGCTAAAATATTTTAGTTTCTGTGACTAAGGTGTGATCTGTCCAAAAAAAGGTGCACCTGTCCCTTTAAGAAACAAGAATGGTGAGGTCCATTCTCTCTGAATACAACAGTTGAATGAACTGAAAGTGTCAGATTGAAGTCAACCATAGTAATAAAAGCTAAATATCTTGGTAAAAAAACAAAAATAATTAACCAACTGCTGGGCTGTTTTGATGTAGCCAATATGATTTATTAAATGGAGCCTGAAGATTTTATATCGTTAATGGAGAGCTGCCAGATTATCTTAAGTGTTATCGTTATTAATTATTGTCTTAACGAGGTTTCAAAAAATAACTTTTATTAATCAGTGTTTATTAATCTCGGCAAAAGGTGTTGAGATGTAACTTCCTTTGTTTTGAAGACAGTGAAATTTTATCGCATGGATTACCGAGATTTTACTCTTTCAAACAGTTTCATTAAGGATTGGTAAAAATAAGAATAACAAATGGAATATATCGTTCACTTGATTCATTATATTTGATATTGTTTATTAAGTACAAAGTTTTTGTTATAAAATTGGATTCTGTGGATGTCTAAATTTGTGGAATATGTCCTGGTTTTTATGAAAAATATACCATAGTTTTATGCCGAAATTTTCTGCTACGAAATAGAGATAATGAAGACAGTTTATGGAAAAGTAGCCTTAGAAACTCTGACCCTAGGGATGATGTTGATGGTTTGTCCCCTGATAGCGGACAAGAGGAAAGGGTACTATTTTCCTACAAGATGTCACGTCTTTTGAGGTGCGTACCTCACACACCTGTCTCTATATCAGTGGTTTCTTGGGAATTAGATAAATCTATAACAAAACACAAGATAATATTATGGAATATAACACACTTCTTTATTAAGGTTAAGCACATAACGTTTCAACACAATATACATGTGTCGTCATCAGATTAGGGCACGTAACGTTTAAACACAATATACACATGTTCGTCATCAGATTAGGGCAAATAACGTTTCAACACAATATACATGTGTTCGTAATCAGATAAGGGCACATAACGTTTCAACACAATATACACGTGTCGTCATCAGATGTAATAAGCCCTACCTTATTAAAGAAGTGTGTTTTATTCCATAATATTGTCTTGTGTTTTGTTATATGTGTTCCTCGCTTCTATATGTCGTTCAAATCTTATAGATAAAGATGATTGTTCAATCTCAGATATTGTCAGGTTTATTTCTAGAAAGTGATATAAAACTTACATCCAATTGTTTGAATGATAGAATTGTCAATGATGCTAGTTTGTAGTTGATAGACATTTTGTTTGTATGAGTGAAAAGCTCCGTCAGTTGGATGATTGGAAGAAGGGAAGATAGTTTGTGTAATGAAATGAGTTGTACGTTGTAAGCCAATGAAATGAGTTGTACGTTGTAAGCCAATGAAATGAGTAATAGAGTAGAAGTTAATTAAGAAGTTATATTAAAGGTGTCGTGGATAACATGTTGGTTTCTAAGGAAATTACTATCGCTATAGTGAAGCTAAGTTACTGTCAAGTAACGTCAACCTTTATTGTGTAGAAATTGTTAACAATTACTCAAACAAGGAACTAAAACTTTAATTATTCTTTTTCCCTGCTGTGAAAGTTTTGTGCATTTTTTCTCCATCTCGAACTAACATTTTAAAAGTGTTTCTTTGGTTTAATTCTGTGAATATGTGGAAGTTTTTGAGACAGGATAACAAAAGTTTGATATTTTTTGTATTATCTGTGGGAGCTTACTCAAGTTTGCTGAAGGGAACTTACCCTTTCATTTCTGATATTTCTTAATTCCTGCAAATTGTGCTACCAGGAGCCAAAAGTTTGATTGTTTCAAAGATGTTTAAATTGAGCTTCCAGAAATACTAAAGGTTGGGTAATTGTAAATCAGCACTTTTTCAAACTGGCAAGTACCTTCTGAATTAATAATATTTGTTTTTAGAACCAGGAATTAAAAGTTTCTTTAATTTGGAAGTCTCTGGTGCTTGTGTACTGAAATCTTCTTGAGCTTTTTAACTGCCAAAGAAAATTGTGTTCCGTTGTTAAGTTCTATGAAAGACAATGGGATAATATTTATGCAATTGTGATTCTTTGTATTTTGTGATTTTTGATGGACAATTATTCATTGTAATGGTTGAATATTTTGGTTTTCATCTGCTGATTCAAATTCTGTTTAACTGAGTAACAGCTTTAATATATCTTCCTCTGATATGTAATTAATTTACTTTTGATTTGAACATGGGTTGTTGTTATAATCTGATATTGTAGGTGTCTGTTGATTTACAGGCTTGTTAGTATCTGTAGCCATGGTGAGTTATCCAGAATTCAAATAATCTGGATAAAACGTGAATCCAGGTGGCATCCCTCCTGTTGATTCTGCAGCTTACTGAATTTACATCTGTTAATGGTGCTTTGTATTTCTATAGCTATCTGTTGGATTTTGAGTTTATTGTCAAGTCAATTGATGCTGGATTTACGTCAGTTAATTAAGCTAATGTATGAACTTTTTCCATATCCAAATACATATATATATGAAAAGGTTGGTAATGTCAAAGTCCGTCAAAATTACCCTTGTCTCATTACCCTTGTCTCATTACCTTTGTCTCATTACCCTTGTCTCATTACCCTTGTACCCTTGTCTCATTACAGAGGAGTAGTACATAAAAGTCCATTTTTATACGCTCACATCTCTCTATGTGGACGTGTATTGTCGGCACCCCTGTCCGTCCGTCGGTCCGTCTGTCCGTCAACATTTGCTTGTAAACGCTCTAAAAACTAGATATTTGGATGGAATCAAATGAAATTCGGTTTGTGTTTACATATTCATAAAACGAAGATCAAGTTCGAATTTGAGCTATTTTTGACCGTAAGAAGCAGAGTTATTGCCCTTGCCCCAAAATCTTGAATATGCTATTACTCTCTTAGTTTCAACCGATTTTGATGAAAATGGATGTTTCGTTTTTACCATCCGAATGCCGTGGTGGGTGTATATGGCTGTGGTCCACTACCTTCTTGAAATTTTGTAAGTGAGCTTATTGTAAAGTCAATGGATACTGGATCAGTGAATAGTGCTGATGTAGAAGTATTAATACCACATCAGGTAGTCTGTAGTGTTTATATTTAGATATAAACATGTATTGTTGAGTTGGCTAGATGAGTTATAAATGTGTGATTGTTATTTTTCCCATCATTAGACATTGAATTAAAAACCAGTCTGTGATAAAATTAGCTCGTCTCATCAGCTACAGGTACTGTGTTTTTTATCAAAGACTTCTTTATGAACTTGTAAATGCAAATAGTACGATTTTTTCTAAAAGACTTCAGTTTAAATAAAGATAAAGGAATGAAAGGCTTATAGAAGCCCTGTCGAGGACTTCGACTATGAATTATTGCATCACTATTCTTTTCTTCTTATCAATACATTGCGTTGGATAAAAATAATCACGATGTATCAACACGATTATTGCCTAGCCTCCTTTTATAACAAAATAACAGAATCATTGTATGTGTAGAGGTGGGAATAGACCGTGCCGTGCCCAGTGCAGTGTACGGTGCAGGATTATTGATACAGTAGAAAATAAAAGAAGTGAAAACACGAGGAAACGATCAAGACACGATACACTTCTACTATTGTCTACTGTATTAATAATCTCACACTGCATCAGACACATTACATTTGAAAAAAGATACAAAAAGAGGGAGGACGTTATGCTAATAATTTGTATTCAACATTGCACTGAACAGCATTGATAATGTTTGAAAGGGTTAAAACTTTCTGAAACTGGTACTAACCTAACATCCCATGGTCAAAGTAATTGCTTTACCAAGTAAACTAGATGTGCAGTTTTGATGGTGGTAAGGTCCTTTTTTTTCTTGAATTAAATGACATGGTGCAGAAAAGTAGGAAGTAAAACTCCACTTTATTTCATTTCATTTGAATTAGATGAATAGTACAACACACTGTTCGTAAGTCCCAGTTGTAACTAGGGTTTTTTTTCTATGAGGCAAGTATCCTGTAGTCCATAACAATAACTCTTTCAGTAGACTTCAAAGGACTTCACTTTTACTGTTGGCATTAAATAAGCGAGTATCTTGCAAATATCATATTCATATTTTTAATTTTTTACAATACAATAAATTATTTTCACTGTTAAAATAGTGTTCAATACACCAACTGTAGAGCGATATAGAAATATTAAAACAGAACCTATGTGTGTATTTCTTTTTTAATATTTCAATTTTAAATAAAATTTCTTTCAAATTAAGCATGAGGCCTTTTTAAGTTTAATAACTGTATATTGATATATAGTATCTGAATTTATAATTGGAAGAACATGGAAGTCTAGTCGTTCAGATAGGGCAATAAACTGAGGCCCTGTGTGATACAGGCTGTGCATGTTAAAGATCCCTCGACAGTTGGAAATCGTAAATGAGCAGACTAATGCCGCTGTCTTGGCAAAATTTACGTCATTGCACACTGCATGGCGTTGCCCGTCTTTATTAGCACACATGGTTCAGAAAAGTAGGATTTAAAACTCCATTTATTTCATTTTTATTATTGGAAGAGTGGACATGTTGTGGACTGTTGACCATAGAGTGGTTATTGTCAGAATGGTCTATCAGCTGTCATTAATAAGTCTAGATTTTAGACATTGAAGACAACTTGTCATTTCCTCTGTGGCTTTACATTACTAAGGTTACTTGATTGTTTGTCTCCTACACTAATTGCAGTCTCTTTTATCAGTCTCAAAGTCTTGTTCCAATCTAGAAATACTAATCCAAGATACACTCACTATGTTTATAGGTGATGTTGATGGATAGGCCCTGAAAGAGGGTTGGTTTAAACAGTATTTTTTTTTCACAAACAATGTACAAACAAATATACACATCATGAAAATGAATTGGGCATCCAGAGACAAGCATAAAGCTTTGATGATACAAATTTGTTTATTGGGGCCCTTTCTGCATCTCAAAGGAAGGTTGTGCTGTCTTCCGTAAAAATTGTACATTTCTCACCAAATGACAAGCTGTTAACCTCTCCTGAAGGCCTCTGTTTTTTTGTACCAGAAACCCACCTTGGCATCAAATAATGAACTTGTATAGCTCCCTGATTTTCATTAAACTTGATATGTATACAGTACATCATCAAATTAGACGTTCCTTTTTGAAATTTTAGCAGTTTAAGGACTTTTCTGTTCTTTGAAAATGTGTTTAGCCTATTTTCATAAAACTTAATGAAAGTGCCTTTGTTAACCTTGTGCAGAAGAGGGCTAGTTGGGGGTAATCTGAGTTCAGAAAATGGGTGATCCCCTTGAAAAGATTTTACATCAACATTAGTGACTAACTATTATCAGTTTTCTTTGTGGTCCTCTTCCACTGAGTCTGATGACATTATTTCGAACTTTAATAAACCTTTAACTAACATCCCAAAGTGACAATCTGACATATTGGAAATTATTTCAAAGACAAAACCATTAAGGCATATTACAGTGATTTTCTTTGATATTCCTAGTGTCTTTTAAGGTCTTACCATCATACAATTTACTTACACTTACACCTGACAATTCTCCTTATTGCACAATATTTACATTTCTACTATCAGTTAGGCAAACTAGCGTTTATTTTTCGATAAACTGTTGTTTGTCACGTGACACTATGACGTCGTCAAAGCATAACAACGACGCAATCTAAGTTTTGTGGCAAATTCAAGTAACGAATCATTTAAAAAGGTGTAAATTGTGTTAATAAAAATATCTCAATATAAAAATAAGAATTAAA